ATACAATGGATGCTTTCTCATGCTCTTTCTGTTTTGTTAAGAGTACCTGCACTGTGTTTCTTCAGGCAAACGATGCCTATCTCCAGATGGCCATTGGAAATGCTCCCTGGCCCATTGGTGTCACCATGGTTGGTATCCACGCTCGAACGGGTCGTGAGAAGATCTTCTCCAAGCACGTAGCCCATGTTCTCAACGATGAAACTCAGAGGAAATACATACAGGTAAGGTTGGCTTGGGGAATCCAACTGATTCCCTTTTGAAGTTAGGGGATCTTTGAGGTGATGTGGACCTTAGTTTGGGTCAAGCATAACATCCATTTAATAGCTTATCCGGGACCTGAAGGCTCTTCAGTGCTGGGCTGGGAATGGAGTCTAAAGGTTTTTTTTACCTCTTAATTGTGATCCTACATGAACACCAAAGTAGCTGTGAAGACATGCTCCTCAGTTCCTTCACTGTTTAACTGTGCAGAATGTATTAAATTTAATCTCTGAAATACAGTTCTTCTGACTATTTCTGCAACCAGATAAATGCTTTCATTTTTCAAACATGTCCCTTCAACGCCATGGATTTGAAAGTTTCAGGTTCAGTTCCTCCAGTGCATATTCATACTCATGTTGTGAACTTTTGAGTTTGGAATTAGCAGCAGTGGTGTTTTTGCCCTCTAACCTTTCAGTGCAGTAAGTGTACAGGTCTGAGGAAACAAGTCTTCTCTTGTTGTATTTTGACATGTATTTGCCTCCTGCCAGCTACAGTTGCATTGAGATAAAGACCTTCTGGCTTAACTGTGAAGCCTCCAGAGCAGCATCTTGGAGCTCAAAGCTTCTGGCAGGGGAAGCTTATGTAAATGTCTTCCTGCTGCAGCAGAATTACTCTCTTTGCTCTTTGACTTCTGCAGATGGCTGCAAGCAAATTGCTTGCAAAAAGAAACTTCCTCTTCCACTTTGAGTCTCTTTGTGTTAGGGTTACAAATACAGCTTCTGGTTTCTCCTTAACTTTATTTTTTAATATCATCACCTGAGAAAATAGCATCTCCTCTCATATTGGAGATAACTTGGGACTTCAGAGGAAGAAAGGTGAATAAAACAACCAAACAAGCCCCCCATCCTAACCCCAGAACAGCAGCCTTTTCCTTTTAATTCTTAAGCTTTAAAACCCTGTAGTCTGTGAGGTTGGTTTAACAGCTGCAGGTTTATCACAGAATTGTCCTTGTGTTGTTAATTCCTAGGGGCTGAAGAGGCTCATGACCATTTGCCAGAAGCACTTCCCAACAGACCCGTCCAAGTGTGTGGAGTACAACGCGTTGTGAGGCTCTGCAGTGGTCAAGCCGTGACTCATGTTTCCATCTCCAGGATCCAGAGAGGGTTGAAGAGACAGCTTGTGCTTTACCACCAACAGAACATGGGGGGTGGGCTTTGAGGAAAAGCACAAAGCAGCAGGTTTTCCACAGCTTCTTTTTTACAAGCCCCATTTATTTAGATTTCTCTTTAAATCTATGCTTTATCCTGAACACATCCAGTCTGCAGCAGAGGGGGGAGGTTCGAAGGGTTTATGACCAGGGGACAGTGAATCCTTGCCTTTATTTCACTTTGTTATTCAGGGAACCGTGCAGACTGAACTGTTTCCCGTATCTCAGGAGCTTTAGGTGCGACTCAGCCCTGCAAGGAGCATATGTGGAGCTTTTCTGGCTGCTTTCCCATTGGAGACTGATGCGGGGAGGTGATTAGAGGGAAGCAGTTGAAGTTGAATCTTGGTTGTTTCTGTAAATATGAAGACTTTATTGGCTAATCTTTCATGTGGTATTTATCAGGAGGGAAAAATAAAAAGGTTTCTATATTTCTCAGCTCAAAACTACAGCCTGGCTCAGTGCAAAGGGGTTTTGATCTTGAATGCATCTGATTTGGCTTTTTCTTCCTTTTATAACAGTGTTTTTAATAGAAAACTTCTGGGCTTGAGGGAAGTCATCTCATGGCTCTTGAGGCTTTCAAATCCCATTTTTATACATATGGAGAAAATCCTGTTCTGCTGGGTATTGCAGAGAAAATAATTAGGACCTCCCATGACCACATACAGCATTTCTGGTAGCCACAAATCTTTACCATTGTGCATCTTGATGGTGAAGAAACTCACAGAAAGGATGATGTCTGATTCAGATGAACTTTGGAAGTGGTGCAAGGCAAAAGGCTGAACTTCTGTGTGAGGTTGGTGAGGTGCTGGCACAGGGTGTCCAGAGAAGCTGTGGCTGCCCCATCCCTGGCAGTGTTCAAGGCCAGGTTGGACACAGGGGCTTGGAGCAACCTGCTCTAGTGGAAGGTGTCCCTGCCCGTGGCAGGGTTTGGAGCTGGAGGAGCTTTAAGGTCCCTTCCAACCTAAATCATTCCATGATGAAATATTGTGGTTTAATTGCAATAGCAGTGGTACCTCTGCAACAGCACTGACAGGTCCTTCTCCTAAGGAGCCTTTCTAGGATCTACAGAGAAGCTCCGAATGGGTTGCTGATCATTTCAGTGCTGCTCATAACTGCAGCTACACACACTTCTGAGCTTCCAGACCTTGCATCTGTCTGGTCCCCTAGATCCAGTCAAGCCAGGTGCACTCTTCTGCCTCTGGAGAACTGTTTCCTGTGCAGTCAGTGGAGGAGAGGGTCTGGGGTTGGGTTCAGGCAGGTTTTTGAATCTGGCATCCCGTTACAAGATGTATCTCAAGGCTGGACAGAGCCTTGGGCAACACACACCTAGTGTGAGGTGTCCCTGCCCATGGCAGGGGTTAGGACTGGATGATACTAAGGTCTTTTCCAACCCAAACCACTCTGTGATTCTTCGGAGAGTCTCTGTGTTCTTTGTGCCTCTTTGGCCACAGCAGTTTTTCAGTCTGGAGCGTGTGACCCCAGAGAGAATGTCAAGAGCTTAAACAGTTTAGAAGTAATAAAACTGAGGCTAATGAGACCTAACCCGTGCCTGGGGAGGGGCCTTGGGGAACAGGCAGGGAGTTGTGGGGAGAAGCCCAGCAGATGTCGGGAGCATGGAAGAGTTTCATTAACTGTGGTGTCTGGTGATGTTTTTGCAGTGCTCTACACAGACACTCTTCAGAGGCATGGTTACAACAGGAAACATTTATAACGCTGCAACTTTATCCCTATCCCCACCCAGATGATTTCCTGAGCTGCTTCTAAGGTCAGGACGAAGATTTAGTTTTGAACTCCTCCTTCAATAATTGAGGGACAATATTGTCCCTTGTTTAGGAGGGCTGTAATTTCCCTGGGAAGAGCAGCAAGGGAGCAGCCAGGGGATGGGTTAAGGAGCATTGTAACATCTGTTTGCAATGGAACGGGATTCCTTGGGGCATCTGTAATAGTATTAGATAGATTTTCCCCTCCCAACAATTAGTTTCAGAGCTAATTATTGAGGAGAGTTTTAATGGTACCCTGAGTACTGGTTCTGAGTGGGGATGCGCTTCCTGATGGGGTGTGAATTTGGGGTTGGAATGTTTTAATCTGCTCAGGTTTGAAAGATTGTAATTTAAATAACGTGCCTCCTTGCTGACAGTCCCTGAAATACAGCCGCTGTGCCTGAATGAATCCCGTGACGGAAGAACTTTATCCCGTTGCAATCCGTGGAATGGTGCTGCACGGGGAACCCAGGGACTGAAAAGTACTTTCTCACGGCATATCCATGTAAGAGTTTCCAGCTGTCCGGCACGTGAGAGCCAGCTCCGGTCCCGGCGGGATCGCGGGCGGGGGGACACTGTTACAGCAGCTGCTTTTCATCATCTTTGCAGCTGGATGGCCCCAAATTACAGCTACCAGAGCCTGAGCAAATAGCCAAAACCAACCCGAAGCCCAGCCGGGCCCAGTGTGGGGACAAGCGGGTGTGGAGCTGCTGTCACATGCTGGAAGGGCTTTGTGGGGAGGGGATGTTTCGGTTCAGCCGTTTGGACTTCTCCCTCTGGGCTTCTCCAGATGTTCATTTCTGATAATCCTGGCATTAGGAGGAAATAACTCTGCTGGATACAAGAGTTGAAGCCTCAGGATGAAGTCATGCATTTGCCAGTGTCTGGAAGGGTTTGGGGACTTTAGTGTCCCTCATTGTTCGTTGCAGGCCCTGACCCCTTCCCCAGTCTGGTGGTGGAAGGTGCTCTCCAAGTACAGGTTATCTCCCTTGTATTGGTATTGCTGTGCCCAGTGGTAGTTAAATGCCTTCAATACCTTATTTGCTCTTTTGCTCTTTGTCGGTGCTGCAGGAAAGGCTTTTTGGGTAGGCCTGTGTGGGAGCAGTTCATTTTGATTGAGGGTCTGGGTTCCTCTCCTGTCAGCTGGCATATAATCATAGAACCATAGAGTGGTTTGGGTTGGAAAGGATCTCAAGATCATCCAGTTCCACCCCCCTGCCACAGGCAGGGACACCTTTCGCTAGACCAGTTTGCTCCAAGCCCTGTCCAACCTGGCCTTAAACACTGCCAGGGATGGGGCATTCACAGCTTCCTTGGGCAACCCATTCCACTGCCTCTCCACCCTCACAGTAAAGAATTTCCTTCTTATATCCAATCTAAACTTTCCCTGTTTCAGTTTTAACCCATTACTCCATTACAGCTCCCGTTCTTGCCCAAGGAACAAACCTGTTTGAGATGTGAATGTCTGTTCCCCAGGGGCAGGAGAGAGCCCTGACTCCCGGGCCCAGGGGTGAGCACACGGCATGGTGCCCTCCCAGAGGCTCATTGCTGGTATGGAATCTGGAGCAGGCTGTAGGTAAAGCTGCTCCTGATGGGCTGTAGATACTGCAGCAGTATTGGAACCACTGGCAGTAAACTGGAGACAAAACCCAGGAGTTAGGGAAAAGTCTGTAAAATCCCATCATGGTCATTTTGTCCCTTCCCAAACCCTTTGGGGGATTTACTGCACATGACTGGCCCCTGTGCAGTGATGCTGGTGGTGGTCGGGGTGGGCTCCTGGCTCTTCATGGGTGCCATTGGTGGCTCCCTGTGTGCATGTGGGGATTGTAAGATGCTGGGGTGAAACAGAGCTGCTGGGCAGTGGGGATAAATGGAAAGAATAGGAAGCGACTGCGCTGGGCACTGGGAAGCACAGACTGGTCCCATATGGAAAGTGTGTGGCTGTTTGGAACTGAATGGAGGGGTGCTGGGCACTGCTTGGTCACCACTGCCTGCAGAGGGAGAAACAGGATAGCAAGTGTCATCTAACGCTGCCTAGGGCAGGGTGCAGGTAGAACACCTCCTGAGCTCCAGCCCTGTCTGCTGGGATGGGTTCTCTGTGCTTCTGCCTCCTCAGCAGAGACTAAACCAGGAGCATGGGGGTTCTTTAGGAATTTACCCCAAAGAACTGGTGGTTCCTTGGAGCACCAGGGGTGAGTGTGCTGGTGCTCAAGCCTCTCCTGTGGACCTTTGTGTTGCCACAAGCAGCCATGTAGCTCCTGAACATTCAGTTCCTAAAAGTGAGCGTAGTTATTCCAAATGATGTGTGTTGGAAGTAAACGTTAACTAGTATTAACTGTTATGTTTGTTTTGTACTGTGGTGGGACATCAGTCACGCAGTTTCTCACAGCTCAAGGTCTCCTAAGACCAACAATCGAGGACACGTGGTGGAGTGACCACAGATCCACTGAATCCCAGGGGATCTCTAAAGGACAGGCTTTTTGAGGTGAATCACAGAATGGTTTGGGTTGGAAAGGACCTTAAGCTCATCCACTTCCAACCCCCCTGCCATGGGCAGGGACACCTCACACTAAACCATGTCACCCGAGGCTCTGTCCAGCCTGGCCTTGAACACTGCCAGGGATGGAGCATTCACAGCTTCCCTGGGCAACCCATTCCAGTGCCTCACCACCCTTACAGTAAAGAACTTCTTCCTTATATCCAATCTAAACTTCCCCTGTTTCAGTTTGAACCCATCACCCCTTGTCCTATCACTACAGTCCCTGATGAAGAGCCCCTTTCCAGCATCCTAATGCCCAGTGTTTCCTGCAACCAGCAGCAAAGGAGCAGGTGCCATGGAAGCCCTGGTCAGCTGTGTGCACATCTGGAGCAAGGTCTGGCAGAGGTGGTGGTATAAGGAGTGCCCAAGGCGCTGTGCCCTCCGGAATAAGCGCACTGCAAGGTTTCATTTTGAAAATGCTTTAATAAGGAAGTGTTGACACCACCGTTCTGCAAAATGTAAAGGTAACTATACAAATTCTTAATACAAAAAGAATAAATTAAAAGCAGATCTGTTTTAATTCTGCAACTTTTTCTACAACATCCATATTTTTTTGCCTTGATTACAGTTGAACAGAATCCAGTCAAATCATTTTCCATGCTCTAAAGTCAATTTCAGGAGAGACCTAATGGTTTTTTTCCTTATTTTTCCTTCTTTTTTATTTTTTTTTTAAACTAGAGAGTCCATTTTACACAACTCGTAATAAAACTATTGACATTAATATATATGTAAAACTTTACATCTAGTTAACTAAGCAGTAACTGGTCATCTGATAGCACCTGAATGGGGATCGGCTATGCCTGAAACTAAAACTAATACAGAGTGAAAACAAATGGGACTGTTTCAACATCTTCAACACTCGACTGCATATAGGATGATGGCAAAATAAACCCTGCCTCCCTCCAGCACGGCCCAGCGCGGGATTAGCTCTCGGCTGAGCATCAGACACGTAGACTCGGAACGCGATTGTGGCTTTATGTCGGATGGAGCCTTGGAAAACAAAAAGGGACAGGAGGGGTTAAGTTGGTAGTCAAGTGCTTGTCTATAATAGCTATGTATATACCCCTCCGCGTTATACTTAAATATGTTAATCTCATCTGATTAACATTTTATGTACATTTGTGTTTTAATTGAATTGAGCTAAACAGTAAAACCTGTTTTACTTTAATCTGTCTTTACTACCAGACTGGCTGCTCACGTGTGCCTCGACTGCGGAACAGAAAAGCAGAACACAAAGCAAAACTCAATCTGTTTCTAGGAAGCTTTTTTCTCTACTCGAGCCCCTTTGCAATTCAGGCCAAGCACTGGATTCCTCTTTACACCTAAGTTCAGGGCTGCCACCTTTTCACCTGTGCTGCAAAACTGCAGAGCTGGTCTTGGAGGAATTAACAGTTCTTCCTGTAGTGCCCAGAGGCCTCATAGCGCCGCTGCTGTTGAATTCTTTTTAATTAAGAGAAGGTACACAGAGAAAACAGAAACCAACCAACCCCAAAGCCACTTACAGGGGAATTAAAAAGAAAACAGACAGTTGCTCAGAGCCCCTAAAAATCCATGGGCTGAATTATTTGCTGCTGCTTAATTTGGTCCTTAGTTAATCCTTTCACTTTAGCTCCTCAATCTTACCAGGAAATGACACTAATCAGTGCTATCTTGTAGCTAAAAATCCAATTAGGAGCTTGAGATAATTCCCATGTTAAAGACCCCAGAGCACAAAGAGATGGTGGAACTGGATTTTGCACATCCAGGTAATGGGTGCAACCTCACCGCTGTCTATCCTTCCACGGATGGGTTGTGAGGCTCCAACTGCTGTCATAGGGGGTTCAATGCTTCCTGGAGGTCCAGAAGCTCGAGGCTCACATGGCCACCTTTAAAACCCCTTGCCAGGATAAAAACTGTTCTGTTTTGTTTTTCCAGAGGAAGAATAATGATGTTTGGACACGAGAGTTCCCTTCCTGGCTCTGCTGTGGATTTCCCTAGACAAACACCAGCCCTTCTGCCTGCCTGGCACAAGAGAACAGCACCGATCATTCCTGGTACGTGCTGTTGTGTGAGCTGCTTGTGTTAATGTATAGAAACCCCGTCATCTTTCCAAGCCTAATTATGCAGAACCCGTTCTCTTTTCAAGACTGGAATGCAGTTTTCCAGCGATCTTAATACCAAAAGGTGTGGCAGCCCCCCAAGTTGAGGTGTTTCATTGTCGCCTTACTTTGTCTGGTAGACGCTGTTGTTATTCTTGGAACACACACACACACACACACACACACACACACACACACTCACACTTTAATTCTTCTTTTCCTTAAACTAAAGCTAACTTCAGTTTCTGCTTTTCACCAAAGTTACCCCCCTCCAGCCGTTTCTTTTAATGCCTTTCCCATAGGAAATCATCGCACAAACGGGGGGAAAGCCAGGAGCCTCCCCCCATCTAGTGGCAATAAAAACAGCATAGCACCGCGGTGAAGCCTAGACGTGCCAGCTTCAACATCCACCCAGATTGTGCACTTATTTGTTACAAAAGTGTCTTTGAGGCCTTTGAAAGTTCCATGGCTTGAACGTGTATAAAGCATTGCTCAAAAGTACGTGTAAACTTGCAGCTCCTTCCAATGACGGTTCCTTTTGGTATCAGCAGGCAGCTCTCGCTCATGTCCAACACCCCATTGAGTTGCTTCTCTTTCTTGTGGTCGCTTCTTGCACTGGGAGGATCTGCCTCTGCTGCTGGGTGTTGAGCTCTTCCCGACGGACCGGTTCTCCCACCCGGCAGCACGCTGGTGACGAGCCCTTTGCTACACTGGTGCTTAGGAAGGGGAGAGGAGTGGAGCAGATGCGTTAATGTGGCTTCAGGTGTTGGTTTGATTGCTGTGTGCTTTCCCTTTGATTTCACCTTCATGCTTTGTGCAGGTATTGATTAGAATTTATTGGCTGTATCTGTTTGCAGAAAGGTTTTTTTTGGCAATTTTTATATTTATCAGAGTATTAAAACCCAACCAGCACAACCCAACTTCTCCATGTAGTGGTGTGCAACCGGTGCCAGCCCCAGTACTCGCCTCTGCTTTAGATAATGGCTCTGTAAACCTTGTTTGTCCAGTTTAAAAGTAGCTTGTGGACAGTGATGCTGTGATACCAGTCCAGACCTCCAGCAGGTCTTCAGCACAGTGGGTTATTTTGCACGTAGGTGGGCTCAAAGCGATGAAGGAAACGCTGTTTGACAGGAGGTGGTTGTGTCTGTACCGAGTTAAAACAGATGTTCTTGTAGCTGGAACCTGCTGAGTGAGCTCATCCTGCTGATGTTGGCGTGGTGATCTTTGGCAGTGCAGATCTGACTGTGAGACTGACACATCTCTGAAGCGACATGCTTTTGCTGTTTCATAACAGACACGCTTTCAGGACTGTTACATCCATTTCTCAGCATTTATCCCATTTTATCCCCCCTTTAAATTAATGCTTCAGATCACAGGTCATGGAAATCTTACTGCTGTTACATGCCGCAGAGCAATACAATTTGATGTAAGCCTTGAAAGGCTTCCATCATTCCAAAGGCAAAGCAGTAGATTGCTGAGTGCCTGTTAGGATGGCTGCTCATCACATGTGCTGCTCTGGCAGCGGGGTGCTGCTGTGGTGGATGTCTCCGGGCCAGTGTGGTGTGGATGTGGCCTTGAATTGCATCATGAGGAAAGTGCTTGGAGTGGAAGCTGGTGCTGGGTGACAGTGCATCTGGGTAAGGCAAATGAGAGGCAGTGAGGTGATCTCAGAATGGCATTGATGTGGTTAACTTGAGGTCAGGGGTTCACACTAGAGTCCCAGGCTTGGCTTTTTCCTGCCCATACCACTGGACATCTGCTAATTCTGGATAGAGGGGAGAATCCAGGAAACAACTGTCGTTGTAGCTCCTGCAGGAGAAAGGAAACTTCGTTAGGACAACAAGGGCTCCTGGAAACTTCAACCGGGGGCATTAAACATTGTATTACATGCGGAAGGGAACAGAGGATATTCACAGACCCCACTGCACTCTGCACATACCCTCAGAGCTGATGTTTGGGGTGCACTCAGCATCAAGACCTGCTTTGCCGCAGTTTGCTCTTGCCTGGCAGCCGTGTTCACCCCACAGAGTGCCTGGTGTGAGGAGGCAGGAGAAAGCTGAGCTCCAGCAGCCTCTCTGTGACCAGGATGCCCTGAGTTTTGGGGGTTGGAATGGCAACAGGCAGAGCTGCTGTTGCTTTCAGCCCACTGCTGGTGGGACGCACTACAAGAAAGCACAGTGTCTGCTGCAAGCACTTGCGGCCAACCCTGCCAGAATCATCATAGAATGGTTTGGGTTAGAAGGGACGTTAAAGCTCATCCAGTTCCAACCCACTGCCTACAACATAACACCATTCTTTCCACATTGGACCTGGCACGAATCACTTTCTAGCTCATCCCTGGAAAGCCACCTAACTGTGGCATTGCCAGGTGATGCACAAGCCCTTGCCCAGAGCAGAAGAGCTACAGGAAAGCACCACCACCCTTGTCCTTCCCTGTTCCCACTGGGTAATACTGTCCATGGCCAAGATCACTGCTCTTAGGACTTGTCTTACTGATTGACAAGCTATTGCTTGCTTCCCTTCATGGCTTTTTGTTTGCCTGTACGCAGCAGGTGAGGTAGTTGATGAGAATTTTCTGTGCTGTATCTGCATAATAAGAGTCAGAATTGATGTGGCCCCTCATATGTTTTGAACCAGCTTCCAAACTAGAGATTGTTTTGAGGCCAACAGTGAGAGATGCATATTCCCTTTACTGTGGGATTCTCACCCCTCAGCTCCCTGGACTCGCAGGGACTGATCTCCACAATTCCTGCTTCCTCTGCCATGTTTTCCACCTGCTTTCCTGGGACCTTGTTTTGGAGGAACCTGAGCCAGGACATCACCATCTGCATGTTAAAGAGCCCTTTGTTTCCCAGCTCTGTGCTGGAGTAGGGAGGTTTATGGGTTATCTCTTGAAAGCTGGGCTTGAAATAGGTGACACATGCCAGCTGTGAATGGTTGTAGATTCAAATCAGGGTGTCAGACAGCCATGCAGTTTAATTAAACTAGAAATACTCTGAGGAGCTTTTTGTTCCCTTTGCCCTCCCTTGTTTTCCCACAGGAACAGGGCCAGGATCGCTCCTTGTTCCATGAAACTATGCTGCTGCTCCTAGGCTCTGCTTCACAGCTCTGCTCTGTCCGAGGGAAGGAGGAGAATGGGGTGCTCGGTGCCATGGCTGCAGCACTGCAGGGAGCTCAGTCCAGGTCCCCTGAGTTTCCACACTCTCTCCATAGCACTTTGCCCACGCTGCTTTGAATGTCCCCAGCCACAAATTGTCACTGTCGCCTGCTCTCTGCCCATTCACCTCTGCACAAGGGCAGAGCAGACTGGCCCAAAGTCCTCTTTCAAAGAGCACCACAGCCACAGATTTGCTGAAAAGGCACAGAGAGGGCATGGAGATGCTTTCAAGTTGTTCTTCCCAGGGCTGAAGGAAGCCTTGTTGCCAAACAAGGAGGGACACAACCACAAGGGCTGCTCCACTGGGACAGCGGGATGCTGGTTATTCACACTGTGTTCACGGACTGTAAGGCAGGAGGATGAAAGAACAAAACGGCCCCTTACTATACCTCTATTCATCAGTACTTTGGTGGGTTGGAGACTGAGACTCATCCATAGTGGGTGAGTTGTCTGTTGCTTCTCTGAACAAAGGAGAGCAAAAAAAGGAAGGAAAGAGGAGAGAGGAAATGTTAAAGAGAAGAAGTGACACAGACATTGTTACGAGCTTATTAATCCAGTGGGGAAACAAGTCAATGACTCATCTTTAGAAAGAGTTAGTGACACAAAAGCATGTTGGGGAGAAGTGTCAATCTGTCTGGGTCATGCTGGGAGGGCACAGCCAGCTCCTGCACTTTGTGTTGTTCATCTGACAGCAACCTGGACCTGAATTCGTAACTAGGGTATTATGCTCAGGCATGAAGTGCTGATTTGTCTCCAGCTCTGTTTGCACTGGTTGTTGGTGCAAAGCTATAAATCTAAGATAACTTCACTTTCACCAGCTGGGAATTTGGCTTGATGCATTTTTGCTATGGGAGACAGGGTGCAGGAGTTTTCTTGAGAGGAAAAATGGGAGTTGGGATTTTTCCAAACAGATTTCTCAGCTGGCTGCTCACCAGGTTTACTGCTGAGCATCATGTAGATATTTAGAGGAGTTAGGATTGGGATGGAGACTGAAATTTGAGTCTAGACTCAAACCCTTCCTAGTGGAAACTTTAGGGTGCAGTGAAGATAACTGCCATTTGCCTGTCTTGTGATCCCTTGGCCTTTTGTGAAATGGGACCAGGAAAATCCTCCTTTTCTAAAGCTGGAAGCCCATGCAAAGCTCATGTGAGGCTGGATATCAAAACCTAAGGTAGGCCTAAGGGGGTTGTGGTTATGGTGCTCCTCATCTCCATTTTACAGCGCAGTCACAAGCAGAGCTGGAGTGA